TATGCTTATGATACTTTGTTCTTTTTTTTTTTTTTTTTTTTTGTAACAAGACTAATGCAGTAAAAGTATGATGATTAGGCTTGGTGAACATCTAAACCAATAAAAGGCAGTAAAAAAGATCATTTGCAGAGAGCAATTGGATTCCAGGTCAGATTAAGAAGAAACTCATCTGCAGCCCGTGGAAGGATATTTGTAAATCCAGAGCTTTCTTTGAGAAGAAAATAAAATACAAGTGGGGATATGGAAGGAAAAACGGATTCTGGGAAGACAGTTGGGGTACTCCACCGAAACCTCTAAAAGAAGACTCCCTCCAATAAATAGTTGCTGGTTGAAACTTTCAGTGACAATGTGAAGAGTACGGCCACTACTTGGAGTGCCCTACAAAATTCTTTTTGTAATATTCTATTTTTCATATCAACCTAGATTGGAGGCCTTTTGTTTCAAACCCTCCAAGGCTCGCTAAGGTCTTCACGATATTGTCTCCACTTTTGTTGAATACATTGACTATATTTCTCATCAATATATATAATAATGTCATTTTCAAGAAGAACTTGCTTGAAATGGAAGTCAATATCATACCAAGCTATGTGACTTGCCTAGTCATCCTTTTGAGTTAATAGTTACTACGTCCTTAGTTAGGAAGAATAAACTATTTCTTATAGAATGACCATTTAAACAAAACTGGAAGTACAAAATGTTTTTGTAAGTGTCTTTGTTGTGTTCAAGATGTAAAACCAAATTGAATCAATATTTTTTTTTCAATTTTTAGAAAAAAATTGAGTCAATAAGCAAAGTTATTGTTTTTTGTACTTTCTAGATGGAATGGAAATATAGGTGAAGAATAATATGATAATGCGGAGAAGTATTTTAATAAAAAATTTAAATTGAAAAGACGGTAGAAGTATACACAACCTTCAGAGAAGAGATATTCTTACTCTAATATATCAAGGGCAAAGGAGCGCTGGAAAGAAATTGGGCGTAACCAAGTTGCCTGTCAATGAAAAGCAATGTCATTTATTGGGAAATTGGACAAATTTATTTAATCACAATGTCCCCATTGCAGACAACAGAAGAGATATAAAATGCTAAAAGGAAGAATTTGAAGATGTAGATTAATTTCCAAACTAATTTTCACGTGACAGAGAAAATTTAAAAGGTGTACAAGAGTTATCTTAATTTACAAACTAATGGCTTAATGTAAGTACATACAGATCCATCTGCAGCAAGAGCTGTCAGATCTTCAAGCAATTGAAGCCCAAGCCTCCCAGCTTTAGTCAAGTTCTCTCGCTTCAACAATGGCCCTCCAGAAAGAGACCCATTGTTCATTGTCCTGTTCATGCCAGGATTAATGAATTAAAGTAGTACCACCATGCTTATGGTGCGTAATAACAGTTTTCTGTTGTTTTTTTCTTTTCTTTTCTTTTCTTTTAATGAAAAGTTATATCTTGTTCCAGAAAAACAAATCTACTAACTGATAGCAAATGTAGAAAAGTTGAGACATAGAACATAACATAAAAAAGATTCTGTTTTGGCTTCTTTATCTGGTTGTGGTTTTTGTCAGCCCCTTTTGTATTAATTCATTTTTCTCCGCTTTAATCCAAAATAAATAATATAAATAAATAAATGAGACAGCCGGATATTCTCCCAATGAAGTATGAGATCAGAGGGTGATAACAGTTTTCCTTATTTCGAAGTTACATAAACAGGTGCTGCAGAAAAAAAAAGACTTCAATAGTTGCACATTAAATAAAATTCAAATAGCATAACTCAACATTAATCATTCGTAGAAAGCTATTAATCATTCATAGAAAGCTGTGAACTATGGGAGTAAAGTGATGTCAATCAAAAGGCAAGCATACTCTGAGCTATTGATGTTATGATCAACATCAGCAGTAACCATGGCTCGAGAGGTTAGACTTCCAGTACCAAACTTTCCAGCCGGAAGCGACTCAGCAAAAATTACATGATCAAAAATTAGAGCTACTGCTTGCCTAAAGGTAGCAGCTGCAGTACTGTATACACCCAAATGAAAAGTGTTTGTTAGATAAAGAGGGAAAATAGCAAGTAGCTGATGAATAATAATCATATTAGACAAGGACATCATGCGTGCAAATTCAATGGCATACTTTCGAACACTGTCAGAAGATCTGTTGTTTTCTAAAAGCCGAATACAGATGCCAAGAGCTTGAGCCATATTTTCCTGCAGTTACACAAGTGAAAAAATTTGGCTACCGTGATAAAGGTTACAATACCAATAAGATGACGATTTTTTATTTTCAGCAACCAAAGAATCTTCCAGTAAAAGCAAGTTGTGGTGTAGTTCATTTGTGAGTATTCTATTTTTTTATGCATGAATGGCAAGAAAAAATTTCCCTCGGCTTGGTCACCCACTATAAGGAATCGCGGTCCAACCGAACAAAGCTCCCAAACCTGTCAGTCCATCCGACTCCGAAATCTTCCAAACTCTCTTGATGCCCCCACTAAAGTCACAAGCCCATGCTTCCATGCTCTTTCAAACGATTATTTCTAGCTTAAGATTCATCAACTTAGGGGAGATTCAAGCTTATTTTTAATGCTAAAAGTTGACAATCGGTAAAAATGCACAAGAACAAATGATGCAAATACAAGTTCATTCATTTGTTAGCAACTTTCGTATTCTTTTTCATTTTTCTCAATGAAAGTCTGGTCTTTCATTTAAAAAATGTATTAAGTGATGTTGAATTTAGAAGTATTGGCAAAAACATATTTTAGCTTACAAAACAAGGAAAATGGAGGCCTAAAGTGTAACGCCTAGAATTTTAAGAAAATAAATAAAATATTTTTTTTTCAAAATAATAAAAAGGAAGGAAAGCGAATGGCACGCACGCAAGTTGGAGAAGATGACCACGCAGTCAACGATTAGTTTCTCAACCTTCTCTTTAACAAATTTGAAGATAACCTTTTTCACCAATTTTATTCTTTGGACTTAACTAAGTCTACAATCAAGTAAGTAACCATATGGAGCAAGTTTTTAAGAAATACTTATGGGAGTCGATTAGGATTGAGGGCAATGATTGAGTATTATGTTTAGGAGCCTAGTTTAACCTAGTCTCATGAAAATTGTGCTTAGATAATGTGAACAGTTACCACTTAGTTCTATTTACAGTTATATAGCTTCCACACGCATGATTTGTGAACTCCGATAGATCATTAGGCTTTTATGCTTTCTAGAATGTTGAGGTTGGATTTTTATCACGTAATGAGCATGACAAGCATGTTGTATGCCTTTATACGTTATTATGCATGATTTAGAGTTTGGATAGCCCGTTATTGTCCAGTCATGAGTTGGACTATCATTATGTGCCATAGAGTGCTATTGTCCGGTCATGAGTTGGACTATTGTTATGTGTCATAGAGTGCTAGTTATGATTTCCATAGACTATGAGTTACTGCTTCACGTATTTTGGTCCTACCACCTAGTCATGAGTTCCATAACCTCCTTGGGTTGACCAGGTACCTTGTAGGGATAGATAGGGCGCAACCCCTATTTGTGAACTAACCAACAGAGTTTAGGGTCTACTTGTTACACATGGTTTAGTTGTCACCCATAGAGGATATCAATAGCCATAGAGAGTATACTACTACAGTTCATATCGGTGGTGCCTAGTGGGGAGGGATGGCCTTTGTACTCATCCAGCCCGAGTGGCATAGTGACAAGTAGTTTTACTGCTCTAGCCTAGGAGGGAGTAGTGACAAGTAGTTTACTGTTCTAGCCTAAAATGCAAAGTAACAGGTAGTTACTGTTCCTAAGACAGGTAGTTTTACTGTTCTAACCCAATGCGGGTACATGAGCCGGTAGTTTGTTGTCCCAGCCTGGAAAGGGTATGGTGACAGATAGTTTTACTGGTCTAACCCGCTAAGGGTACATGAGTAGGTAGTTACTGTTCTAGTCTAGAACGGGCGTAGTGACAGGTAGTTTACTGATCTTAGAAACAGATAGATGTTGCCTGACACCATTAGGGAGAATCCACTATTAGAGCTCAGTAGGTAGATAGGTACGGAGTACGGTCACCATTTAGAGCGAAAAGGGCTCCTCCATACCGATATTACCTTAGGGCCTTTTTCATGGGCCATAGTTACTCGAGGCGCTCCTCGCACAAGGCCGATGAAGGACCTAGGCATACGTGAAACCTAGAGCCAAGAAAACAGAAAACCCCTAAGTTGTGATCCTGAGAGGGATTGAGTACTCCTTAAAGGAGATATGTTGAAGGTAGTTGTACACTAATCGACCAAGTTTGGTATAGCCTTTTAGCCACAGTTTGGGCAATCGTTATAAAATAGCTATGAGCACATAGCTTCTATGTATAGGCTTAAGTCCGACAATAGCCTACAAGTAGGTTGCTTAATGAGTATTTTTATACTCATTCCATTTTTTTTTTTTTTTCCAGATAGTGTAGACCAATGCTAATGGCGAGAGCGTGCGGAATCGTGCAGCTACAAAGGGTACATTTTAGATCGAGTTTCTTCCTTGTCATTTTTACTACTATATTAAAGCTTCTTCTCGAAACTTATGTAAAAGTGTTTTGATTCGACTCTACAGATGTCGATTTTGAATGCATATTTATTTTAAATTCCTTGAGTCTCCCGTTTTACAAAAGAAAATTTACTGCTCTTTTACCCTCGAGTGTATGTGGCGACTTGTAATTTGAGGTATCGAAAAATAGGGTCATTACATAAAAGAGTATAATTGAAATACTGTATTCAAAGAAATATGTTCTTTAACTTATAAACCTCGGCGCAAGAATTTCAAAGAAATCTGATGCATAAGAAACATAGGGTCATAAATTCCAACATCGTCCATCATTAGTAATTGCTTTTAAACTCTCTCAAATCTGCTTGCCTCGTTTCAGTATTCTAAAAAATTATGAGCAAATGGTAAAAACCACCCTTAAAGTATCGTGGTTGTTGCAATTGCACCCCTCAAACTTTTAATGGTAAAAATGAAACCTTCAAACTAACACAAATGTTAAAATTAGGCCCTCAAACTTAAACAATTGTAAAAATTGGACATCAAGCTTTTAATTGTAAAAATTGGACTATGAAACTTATAATTGTAAAAATTAAACCCATTAACTTACCATAAACAGTGGTAAAAAGGGACCCTCAAACTTTTAATTTTAAAAATTAAACCCTTTAACTGACACAATTGTTCATCTTCTCTCCTTTTGTAAACATTGTTATTTTTTTTCCATTCATCCTCTCCTTTCTATCTCTTGAGGATCAACATTTGCACTCCACAAGGTGCGATCATCTGGTGAAAGTGGAGCTTGTGAGAAGATTCTTTGAATCCTGGTCTAAAAGTTTAAAATGAAGGCAAGGGAAAGACAAATAGACAAATGAAGCAAAATCTTCATTTTTTTCACTGCCCTCTCGTGGATCACACAGATTGAAACCTTTCACTCTCAGCTCCTCCAATGGTGTTTTCATCTCTCCCAACAATCATTTTACCTTTGCCCACATGTCCCTCTTTTTCCTATGTTCATCTTCTTCACCAAACAAAGCCTTGGAGTTTCCCTCTCTCTACCAATCATCTCTAATCTCACAAAACCTCCTTGTCCACTTCAACACCACCACGGCGTACTGTTCTTTGACGTTGGATTGGTCGAATCAATTCAATACACCTACATGCACTGTCAGAACTTTCTCTTGAAGCTCCGACCACCCCTGGTACTTGTAGTGATTCACCACTGCCTCCTACATCCTCATCTCCCTCAACTAAAACCCCTTAATCAAAAATAGAGGATTGCATTGGAGAAGATAATGGATGGTGACAGAACCAACGGGAAAAAAATAATAATAACATTTTTTACAAAATAAAACACCTAATTTTAACAATTAGGTTAGTTATAATTAATTTTTAAAATTAAAAGTTTTAGGGTCACTTGTTAACATTATATTCTAAGTTAAGGGATCTAATTTTTACAATTCAAAGTTGGAGGGTCCAATTTTTGTAATTGTGTAAGTTTTAGAGCCCAATTTTAACAATTGTGCAAGTTCGAGGGCTTAACTATTTAAATTAAAAGTTTGAGTGGTGCAACAACCTCTATACTTAAGGAGTGGTTTTTGCAATTTTCCACAATCAAGCTTTCATTGACAAAAATTAAAGGATGTAAAGGGTTGTCCTTAAAGACAACCCAACAAAATGAACCACTAGATCAAAACTAAGTACACAAAAAATGACCTCTAATTTAAAATGATAAGACCTAAATACAAAATTCTTAGAAGCTAACACCGAAAGATATGCATGAAGCTAATACAAAATGACCTCTCATAATATCTCGATCTCTCTAAAAAATCATATCCTATTACTTCTCACAATCAACAGACCTCACAAAACAGCAAAAAAGCTCGTGCACCACAAGAACCAACCCTTATCCTGAAATGGTGGATGCATAAGAATGTCCTCCTTCATAGGAACTACACCCGATTTTAAGCCACCAAAAACCTCAAGAAAATCTAAGTATGAGAATTTGAAAGAATACTGATGCCAAGGTTTATCTCCATGCCGTTTGAAAAAAAAAAATCAAATCATTTAAAGAAGAAAAAATCTACAAGAAAACCTCTCGGAAGGATTGGGGCCAAAAGATGGATCCCTTCTTCTCAGGTTTATAGAAGAGCCCCACATTATGTGAACAGTGACCACATACATAATTTGAATTTCTAAGAACCATGCACTCTAAAATAAGATCTCATCAACAAAAAATAAACAAAAGAAGTAAAATCTGTTCAGCTGTCCATTTTTTAAAGATGTACTATTTCTTGCACAATGATCATCTTATGGCGATAAAGTTTTCTAAATGATCATTACCTCACTTTCAGGATGTAATCGGGATTGAAAAATTATTAGTATAGTTTGAAGTGTCTTTAACTGAACAGTCTCATCTGATATTTCAGCGTGCTGCAAAAAAAAGAAATTTAAATTAGAATGATATGAAAATCCATTGTTGCGTTTAACTTGACATGTCAAGGGCAGGATCAAACTCATATTAGACATCACTGTGATCTATTGTTTGGCCATAGGTTAATGATAATGTAAAACCTTAAGACCACAAAATTAGCCAAATGACTCAAAGAGCAAGGAGGATATGAAGCACTTTTGGGTAGACCATGGCTCCAACCAAGGCCCAACGTCTAAAAAATCTTATATGAATGGAGTTCCCAATAAAAAAAAAAAAGTCTTTTCCGAACCGACTTCTAACTCGATGCGATTAGGACCAAGATAACCACACAAACAAGTCAGGAGTGGTGTGAAATGGTTAGCCACAAAACCAGGGAAAATTTTGACCGTGCATACAGATGAAAGATTCTTCTAGCAACACGTGTGGCGCACGCACTGGTATTTTTCCTGTCAAATTTTGGATTCTTGTTGATCATTGATTGGGCTACGCAGTGATGATACACAAAACCCAAGATAAAGGACAAAACTCTCCAACAAGGTGTCCCATACCTCAAACCCTAATGTTCACAAATCCCTCCTAATGACTCACAAAACCCTAGTTACCTAGAAAAGACATAGTGCTCTAATATCATGTTACTATGAGGCCAAAATATGTGAGAATAACATCACATTCTATACAATAGGGCTAAATATATATATATATATATATATATATATATAGGCATATGTGGAAGCTCTAGACTAATAACAGTAAAATTATAATAAAGGACAAAAGACTTATAAGCTTCTAAATCCACTTATATACTATAACACTTATTTTATTTATAAAAAAAACAAAAAAAAGACAATGACATACAAAAAAAAAATCAACAAACTAAAAGCAGGGGCTCCAATCCCCTTATATACTATAACACTTACTTAAAAATTAAAATAAAAAAAATAATAATAAAAATAATAATAAAAAAAAAAAAAAAAAA